TATAGAAAAGACTGTTAAGGTCCTTCTCGAGGTTGCAGAGATCCTCGACAATCACTGCAAAAATTGCCAGATATTCTCTGCTGTTGGAAGATTTTCCGCAGTTTTTTGCGACTGCTTAGGAATCGCAGGAAATCTTGATGTCATTACTGACGACTATGCTGGCTCATTGGCCATGGCATCTACTACGTCTGGGATGTCAGGAGCTGTTTTAAACGTATGGCAAGCTTACAAAGCCTCTTCTGAATTACTAAGGGTAACAGACATTGAACGAGAAGCCATTAAGTCGATCCGTAAGGTAACGAAAAATATTGACGTTCTAAGATCTGGTGAAAATAGAAATAGGCTTCTCTTTCTTGCAGAACATGTCATCAAGAGGTTTGGATCAGGCCACTTTATCCTTTCTTTGATAGAGGAATCCCTTCCTGTGGATGTGCTTTACAGGATCCCCGTTAATACAGCGCGAGACGCCTCGGAATTAGTTTTAAAAGCTGGAGGAGCCTACGCCGGGATCGGCCCTGGTATTAAAACTGTAGCCAAAACGGTTGGTGAGACTGGTGCGAAAGTGGCAACTAGTACAGCTGGAGACGTTGGTGTAAGCATAGCATCCGAGGGTTCAAGTGTAGTGGCCAGAGCGGCAGCTTGGAGTAGTCATTGCAAGGGATCGGTCAGGGCCGCTGAGTACGTTGGGCCAAACGTGAGAGCCATAAACATTGAGAAATTCCAGCTGACATTCGGGGCCTGTGGAGACGCTACTGCAGCCGAGAAATATGTGCCCGTTGCAGAAATTGGTCGAAATACTGCCTCATTTCGCGACGCCAGTGGGAGGGATGTAACTCAGGAGTCTGGAGCCTGGGTTGGTGCCGAAATCAGAGTTCCTTTTGGAACCAAATTTGTAAGAAGTATTATCACCGCAGGCTTTCTGGTTTGGGATTGTAAGACACTTTATAACACGCTTAACGACATAAAGAACAACAAGGGATCTGATGTTTCCAAGTACCTCAGAAAACGAGCACGTGCATTTGAGGCACTTCTTCCTGCACACCAAGAATAACTACTCCCTGAACTTTATATCTCCAGGACTGATACATGGAAAATCGTTCAGTTTAGCACGATCAATTTCGAGTTCTCTCTACAATCCATCCTGTCAGGGAAGTCTTTTCGTAGGGCTACTTCTAGATTTTGTATAACAGACCTTTTATATATCTAGTGTAACAGGAAAATTTTGGATTTTTCGAGAAAATCATTAAGATAAAATCGAAGTCAGGGCTTAACTTTTTAAAAGACTTCACATTGTTATTCGCTTGATGCGTCTCTTCCCAGCAAAAAACACAACCGGTTTTTTTTACACTGATCCACTGGATAGGAATTTATTCTGTGGAAGGCCGTTGCCTATCTTTTGAACTTTAATTTCTTCGGAAACTAAGACAAAACTGTTACTTTGCCGTCTGAGAGTCCCGTTAGCGAGGAGTGCGCGTAATGGAGTGCCGAACGAAAACGAGAATGATAACTGTTGGCGCTGTCATCGCTATCTGAACTTCTGGAGTTCATCGAATAGGATTTACGATACCATACTCCAACACGATGGCACAAGTGTCTAACAGGGTGGTTTTTGTGCGTTTGGTAGTCTTACAGTAGTTGGCATGGTATGACCTCTTAAGGGACCTTTGTTTTAACAAGTCGCCCGGGACTGATAATAAACCTCACGTAGAGATACAGTGGCCATTGGGTATCATTTGTAATGATGGCCTTAGTTGTCTTGTTTGATTTGGTGGTTTGTATTATTTGTCTGTATTTTGGTTTTTACTAAATGCTCTTTTTTTTCAAGAATATAAATTCAATTTTGGGTAGGAATTTATCAGCCACTGAAATAAGCAGGATAGATGCTTGAGATAAATTTCCATTATACTCGCATAGGGTCTATGTTAGCCAATAATGTTTCCCAAACTAGTGACTAGACTACATTATGATACTAGTTTTACGCTAAGGGAGGTTCACTGCGAGAAGCTGCCCAGTAATTATAGTCCCTTCTCTCACCCATTTAATCAATTTATCCATTAGGAGTGGGTACTCTTTCCAGATGAGGAAAATTTTTCAGATATTACCTTAAATATACAAGGAGGATTTTAAGTCTGATTCTACAATCCATAGGCCTATTTCTATTCTACCAGTTGTTAGTGAATAATCGAAACGATTAGGCTATGTTTAAAGTGCCTATAAGCTATAACCCATAGCCAATATCTTTCTTTTTAAAAAGTAGAAACATATAACATGCAAAAACAAGAAACAGAATGGGATTTGAGCTCAATCTCGATTTTTAACAGGCGATCAAAATCCCGGTTCACTAAGTACAAAACGCACCTTATGGGGACTGGGCCAAGTAGCCTGTGACGTCACCCGGTATCTCGGTGATAACACAATTGGCTACAACATACCGGGTTGACGTCACAAGCATTTAGTGCCAGGTCTCTCAATCACTACTTTTTAAATAAATATGGCGGGAAATTAGCCTCAAATTGCTGATTTCCTCCTTCGATAAAAGTGAGTTAAAAAGCAAAATAACTTTTATTTCTTCGCAAAAATTCTTTAAACTACAAAAATGTTCGAAATTTAATATAACTGAAGACAAGTTATAGGCCCTTATGCTGGATAGGTTTTCTTGGCGGCACGAAAGCCTATCCGGTATACTGTATAAAGAGACACGGCCCGGGACGACACAAGTCGTTGACACACATCGAACATCGAGCCGTTGCGTTTGGCCGAGAGGGATTGGTGCACTAAATTCCAGTCCTCACTCGTGAATATTTACTTCCGTCTCAGTGGGTTCCGTTCTTGGCTCCTACGTATTTACTTCCACGACGGGCTGAATAGTATTCGCTCTGCACCAAAGTAGGGTACAAAACCTGTCCGATATGTGACGGTCCGCTTTTGAGATCGGCGTAGCGCAGTGTCACTCGTCACAGAAACTGCGCCACCACAACCGTTCATGCGTGGGAACAGAAGCCCTAAACGCGTGGACATAGCCAGCCTTATTTTTTGATCTACTTTATGAATACCTGATTCGCAATAATTTAGTGGCGGATACTCTGCATGATTTTAGACCGATACATTTTACTTTTATTGCTTCCTTGAAGCTACTAAGAACTGGTACTTAAATATTGATAATGAGGTAATTAATAGTGTACTTTTCCTAGATCTAAAGAAAGCCCATTTGATGCGGTTGACAAGCACAGCGTATTGATAAAATTAAAAACAACAACAACAACAACAAACTGGTTTGATCTTGACTTGCATGCAGCTCAGGGCGCGGTTCCTGGAAAGATTGTTGAGTTTAACCCAGGATTAAGCCAATTTTAAGCAAGGTTTTCTTGTCCAAGAACATGATCCTCGAGCCTACAAAATACTGTTGTGCCTTTACTTCCACACACAAAATGTTACTCTAGGCAATGCATAGGAAGGTAAATACGAAAAGTGAAACAAAATTTCAATCCCAGATTAGTGCCAATCGGCCTTTCAGGAACCGGGCCCAGTGGATTAGATCGTACCTACGAAGTTGTTCTCCGAGCACCATGTCAATGTTCTTTTTGCATGATTACTGAGAGGTTTAACAGGAGTCAGTTGGTTTCATAGACTTTATCTTTTTTTCTTTGTCGCAAATTATATAGTACTTTTTACTACTCTTTTAAACACATTGTATTCATCTTCCAGTACTATTACCTAATTTGCCTACTAGCATAGTGAGTCATATAAAACTTATAATAATAAATAAGTTGTTTGAATCTTGAACACATTCAATTTACATCTTAATAGTAAAATTGACAAACGATAAACAGATTCTTTCACTAATCCTTGGTGCTTAATGCATGATAAAATATACACAACATCCAAATGCGAAGGATGAAAACTGTTGTAACTCGGAGTTTCAAGACAAATTTTAGCTTTTCAAAGAAATAGGAAGTAGCGTGACATATCCCCTTTAACCCTTTAAGCCCTAAGAGTGATCAGCATCCAATTTCTCCTTGTAGTATCAATGCTTTGTAAAACAGAGCGGTCATGAAAATTACGGACATGATCACACAAGCTGAAACTGCATGAAATATGTAGTTTTACAATACCGTAATAAAACTATGATAATAATACACCAAAAAAATATAGTAATAGTCTATGAATAATAAAAGTAGAATTAAAAATATTTACAAATACTTTACAAAAGGCAGATCTGGCGTATATGAAGGAGTTACTTGCCCAACTGGGTTTTCAAATTGGCTACTTGAAATTGCACTGTTTTCTTAAATTGTAACCACTGCCCCAGCGCGTTGGAGGCAACAGGTTTCTTATCTTATGTCGTAAAGAACCCGTTTTCGTTACCACGCTTCGCTACCAGCTCAGAGTTCTAGACTCTAACTTTAGTGGTAAGATTGTCAAAGTTTTAGATGATTTTGTGGATACATACTTTTTGACAAAAATAGTTTTACGTTAGCAAAAAACTAACCATTTTCATTGTTTTTCTTCGATTTGTGTGGCCAATAGTAATAAAGTCTTAGCACGCGATTTGCTACCGATTTCTGAAAACGAAACTTTACTCTATTTAGGCCGATTCCAAACCCTTTCTCCTGCACTGGACTAGAAAAATCCTTTGTGAATGACATGAGTCGAGGCTCAGTATCAATCATAAAACGTGTAGAATTGTTTCAGAATCGCCGCCCTCGTCCTCAAGTTAACATCACATAAGAAACGGTAAGCATGACGACAAAAAGAAATCTTGTCGGTATTATGCTGCTGGAAGAAGAAACTGGGAAAAGAAAAAAAAGATGTTCCGTCGTTATTAAGGGTTAAGGTGTAGGTCATGTAAACATTTAAAGCCTCGTCAAGCACACCCAACACCTAATTTTGCTTATTTTGGCTGTTAAGCTCCATCAACCATACCCAACACCCGGTTTTGCTGATTTTGGTTGTTGGTTAGTGTCAGCAAAAAACAAGAATGTACTATAAAGCCTTGTCAGTTTTTGACGTGAAGTTGACCAGCTAGCCTGAATACTTTCACGAACCGTAATTGGACTTATACTTTTGTAAGTTCTTTCAAGGAAGACTAAAAAAATATACCTTTTATATTCAACACTCGCCAGTATTAGTAAAGCCGGACGTGCCTTAAAAATTAAAATTGTTTTATCTGGGAAATAGCGTGAATTTTTATCCGAGTATTACTAGTAATGACTGGAGTTCGACCCCTATAAACGAAGCTCGGGGAATGGGGCCACTTCCTTACCTTAGTAAGAGCGGAGCTCTGCGTGCTCGAGCAAGCGCCGCAAGGGAACCAGGGGGGCATATAAAGCATTTCTCTTTTCAGCTCCAAGAGCATTTTAAAGGAGAAGAGCAGCCAGTGTCTGTCTTCTGCAAAAGCCCTCGTGATTTTACTTAAACGCCATAATCGGTTCACAAACTAATCATGTCTGAAAACGGGTGTGCAAAATGATGTTTCGGTCTGAAATAGGGTCAGGATTTAAAGAATCGGGTGGCAAAGCTCTACCAAGAATTCGTAGGAGACCCCTCCATTTCCAAGAGCTATACTTTGTCGGATATGACCGAATCCCTCACCTTTACAGACGTGGCCATCTCCATGATACCCTTTGGAACAGGAACAGCGATACGATCCCCATGTATTTACACAGACGGCTTTTTTGTGACAGTCATAAATACCCGCTAGGCACTCGTTATAGTCATCACACCACTTTCCGTCTCCTCGAAAACCGGTTTTACAGCAGCAGGTGTACGAGCCGTCTGTATTTCTGCAAACTGCGTTCGGGTTGCAAGGATTTCGACTACACTCGTCCTCATCATAGCACGTTTCGCCATCGCCTTGGTATCCGTCCAGGCACTTACAACTGTAAGATCCTTGGTTATTGATGCATCGCGCATTTGGACTGCACTTTGTCTTCATGGGTTGGCACTCATTTATATCTAAAGACCAAATAATAATACGGTGAAGTCGTTATAAGACGATGCCATTCTTAAGAGCTCTAGTCAAAGGCCTTTAACTCACGCTCAGTTAGGGAGTCCAAATTCCCAGAAAGATGAACCTTTCTCCCAGAAATTTTAAAGATCAACCAAAACTGAGCTCTCTGTCAGTATAACAGGAAGACCCGAAAACGGGTGACAGCTTCCTGTGTAGTCAGATTTGTCTATTGCCATTTTAGGCGTTTTAAGATATCAAAACAACCGTGTACAAGAGTTGAAATCTTCGATATTTCATGTTAGACCTGTCATGAGAAAGCTTGAGGGTGTACTAATTCAATGCCCGGCGTGCCCAATCGATGAAAATCAATCATCGGAAACCAATCAATATAATCGGTGAAATCGATAAAAATTTAGTTGATTAATATTGATTGGTTTCTTCAATCGATGAAAATCGATACTCACAATGCAGGTCCTCTTAATTGTATCAATTCTTATGGATTTTAAAGAGCGCTAGACACCAGTTTATGAATTTCTGTTGTACAGTTTTAGTTTACGTCGCATAAAAGCGGGGAAAGTGGCCGGACCTCTTGTTATTTGTAGGAGTCGGTACTTTCTAGAAACGTTGTTCAACAAATTTACGTCATAGGGGGCTATTTAGTTATTTTTTGTCCACGCATCTCGAGTTTCAAATGATCAGACTTTTCGAAGAGAGTTTTCAACACACTTTCAATCATTTTTTTTCGTATTTTCGACACATTTAGAAGAAAAATAGTCTGCTACACAGCCGTTAGAGTAGTCACGCAACGCTCCTCCCCACAAACTGGGGAGGAGCGTTGCGTGACGACTTTTGACTAAAAACGGCTAAAAACGGCTAGAAGAAAAACAGCTATGGAACGAAAGATTTCCTTTTAGGAAGTGAAAAATTACAACCGGTAATACTTTCAATTTCTAATGCATAGCTCAAACGTTTCTGAAATTATGGTCAAACGATTACCATTGACAATCGATATGATCGATGAAAATTAATAAAAATCGATAATCAACTCTTTCGATCTCTGATTTTTTAATCCATTTCCGATATCACTCGATTCAGTATTACTATCGATTACGATCGATTTTATCAATTGTCGAATTTCACCGCTTGGACACGCCGGGTTCAATGTTGAGCTTTGCTTCTATAGTTTGGTATTACACTGGAGACTGCTTACCTGTGCAGTACCGTCCATTCCCCGTGTACCCTCTTTTGCAGAAGCAACTGTACGAACCTGGCTTGTTCACACAACTAGCACTAGAGTGACAGTTGTCAGTTCCAATCCTACACTCATCGATGTCAGTGCATTCCCATCCATTACCTTCATATCCATCAAAGCACTTGCATCTGAATGCACCGATGCTGTTCGTACAGGATGCATAGATACTGCAATTGTGTGTCTGCATTTTGCACTCATCAATGTCTCTGCACGCTCGTCCATCACCTTTAAATCCTCCACGGCAACTACAATTGTAGGAACCGATATTGTTTGTGCAGAATGCATTTATACTGCAGTGATGTGTTTTGGTCTTGCATTCGTCTACGTCTGTGCAAGACCATCCATTGCCTTCATAACCATCATGACAAGTGCAGTTATATGAACCGACATTATTTGTGCAGAATGCATTTATACTGCAGTCATGTGTTTTAGTCTTGCATTCGTCTACGTCTGTGCAAGACCATCCATTGCCTTCATAACCATCATGACAAGTGCAGTTATATGAACCGATATTGTTTGTGCAGAATGCGTTTATACTGCACCGATGTGTTTTTGTCTTGCATTCGTCTACGTCTGTGCAAGACCATCCACTGCCTTCATAACCATCATGACAAGTGCAGTTATATGAACCGATATTGTTTGTGCAGAATGCATTTATACTGCAGTTATGTGTTTTAGTATTGCATTCGTCTACGTCTGTGCAAGACCATCCGTTGCCTTCATAACCATCATGACAAGTGCAGTTATATGAACCGATATTGTTTGTGCAGAATGCGTTTATACTGCAGTTATGTGTTTTAGTCATGCATTCGTCTACGTCTGTGCAAGACCATCCATTGCCTTCATAACCATCATGACAACTACAGTTATATGCACCGACGTTGTTTCTGCAGTTTGCATGACGGCTACAATTGTGGGTTTTCATCTCACATTCATCCTTGTCTATACATTCAAATCCGGTGCCTTCAAATCCGTCTCGGCATTTGCATTCATATCCACCAAGTGTGTTTATACACGATGCATGAATACTGCAGTTATGGCTCAAGGCTTTGCACTCATCAACATCTTGACAGGTCCGCCCATCACCTTGGAAACCTGGCAGACAAGAGCAGTTGTGACCACCAATTGCATTAGTGCAGGATGCATGGGGGCTGCAATCATGAACGTCTGTTTTACACTCGTCTACGTCTTTACATGAAAAGCCATTACCTTGAAAGCCGTCAAGGCACGTGCAAGTATAAGAGCCAATAGTGTTATTGCACAAGGAATCAGTGCTACAGTTATGTTTGCTTATGCTGCACTCATTGACATCTGTGCATGAGTGCCCATCTCCTTCGTAACCAGGGAGACAAGTACAGTTGAAGGTGCCCATGACGTTCACACATTGTGCGTTTAAGGGGCAGGGATGCAGTTCTTCGGAGAAGCACTCATCTATGTCTGCCGGAAATTCAAGTTGAAAATAAGCCTAGTTAAACTGTCCCGATATCAGAAAAAATGCCCTTTCCTTCACTATAGTTACCCTTGTGCCCCTATGTGCGTATTTGCGTAAGTACTTTTTAGCTTAAGTGTTTCAATCTTCTGCACTCTCTGACTATAAATCGCTTAGATATTTTGCATCTCCCCTACAGCTTTATCTTTTCCACCCGAGTTCAGCTGTGAAATTAAGATTTTAGCTTTTGAGAGTCCATCTCAAATTTCAATGAACAAGCAGTCTTCTTCCCGGGTCTAAGGCAAAGAATATTTTGAACAAAAATGTTCCAAAATCTTCATACCCGTTTTTCTGGCGGCCACTTTGAACACATAACATATAAAACATCCCGAAATCCCCAGAAATTTGTCAAAATTAAAAACGTACATTACGTGTCAGAGAGTAGATGCTGTAAAAACATCTCAACTGACACAGTTCTAATATCTTGAACACGACGTTGGGTCTTGCTACTGCCGTGAAGTACAGTAGACACCCGTAAATAAGAAATGACTTAAGTGGAGTTTGACAAAATAGCTTCTTGAATTTTTGGGTAATTATTGGCAATTTAGGATAAGTAGATTCTTAATTAGATTTTTTATGTTTCTGAAGGAGATAACAGATTGTTGATCACCAGAAAAATAATCAGTTTGGGTTTGGTCCTTGAAAATACAGTCTGTATTTATTCACAATTGATTACCGAATTTGTATACATGCAGTTTGGTTCAGTATGTTCTTGATATACTTTTCTATCTTAAAGTTACGCTCCTTTGTTAAATTGTTTATCATAATTTAATTGTAACCCACATATAAGAACCTGCTTGATCTTTCTTGGCTAAACAGGTTCTTGCATTTTGGGGTAAACTGCAAATTTCCTCCAGGAGGTTCTTAATCCACTAGGTTCTTATTCGCGGGTGTTTACCGTGTGACAAAGGTTTTAAACGTCGTGCTACTGCCTTGCTTAATAGGTTGAACTGAACTCGATCCCTAGGCTGAATTTGGCCCGGCAAAATCTGAGCTGTTACCTTGGCACAAAGAACCGTTCCCTTCAAATCCATTGTTACAGACACAGACATGACGATCCCTGTTCGTTGGGTCTGTTGTACAAACAGCATTGGCATCACATCGTGGGCTGCAAACAAATCGAGTGGGGAACAAATTTCGCAAGTCCTCCGGGTCAACTATGGAGAGCCAGAGGATCAAGAAATAAGTATAAGTTTAAGCTTATAACAGTTTGGAGGTTTTATAGCAAAATACAGGTCTGGAGTACATTTACACGATATCCCGCAATTTAAAAGGCTCTGTAATTATTGTATTGTAAGCGCAAGCGGCCTTGTATGAAACAAATGGCCAGAATCAGTTAGCAGATTACAGTTTCAATATGGCATACTTGTCTGTAATTGTCGTTTGATCTAGAAAATCCTTGGAGTTGTTGGTAAGTCTGTTCATTTTTCGTAACATAAATGAAAAACAATATACATAATATCACTTTTTAGGTGAACCCTAATGTGCTTGCTAAATATGTACAATCATAGTTAAGGTGGCTCCCTAGAGTAAATTGGCCGTGCGCAGCCTGAGCACTAGTATGGCGCGAGCTTTAAAATCCGCGCGACGTCCAAACAAAAATAAAACAAATATGGCCTCTTTGTTTCGAAATATTCCTCCCAAAAACCTTTATTAACTTTCTGTTGAAGCTAATTGTGCAAAAAGTTTGGTTAGTGTAGGTCAAACATTCATGAGAGGAGACAATGTTAAACAAGAATCGCCGAAAGGCGATTTTTAAAGGGAACCTCCACTTCAACAAAAAGATAACTTTAAATCACAGGAAATAACTGTTACAGTCAAGTCAATCTAAAATATTTTTTAAGAAAGCGTTTGTATCCGAAAGAAATAACTTTTAGATTCGCCTATTTTTGTTTTCAAATTTTGCGGGCGTCGCTATCTTGGATAATTGTGACGTGTAATGGTTGCCCTATTGTTATTAAACAAAAGCTCTTTGTGTCAGAACAATAGAGCAACCGTAACACGTCACAATTATTCAAGATGGCGGCGCCCGCGAAATTTGAAAGTGAAAATAAGCGATTTTAAAATTCACTTTTCCTGATATAAAAACTTTTTTTAAGACAAATTTCGAACAAATATGTTTATCAACATAATTTTATTCGATTTAAACTTATTCTGTAGTAAGAGTGGAGGTTCCCTTTAACTGGGCTGCAAAGGAACTATTTTTCCTGAAGGGAGGGGGCGGCTATACACACTCAGGTTACCATAAAACCTTGTCGGCAACCATTGCATGCGACAGAACCTCATGTGAGACTGAAACATAAACTCATACAGAACATTGTACCCTTTTGAAAGACTTTCGTAACCAAAAAAAAGAGTACCATTTTTAAGTGGGGGCTGTATATTAACTTTTAAATTCCACCATAATGAATAAAAATAAACAAGTTAGCCATTAATTCTAAGCAGGAAACAATTTGCATTATTTCCACGTACCCCTCCCCCAATCCCTCTGTGCCCCAAAATATAGTGTGACAGTATAACGTGACTAATTTGACGTAACTGGAAATTCCAAAAATTGTTGTCGTTCTACGAGCATAAAATGCGACAGACTGAGCTGATTTACACTAGACAGAAATATTGTATTGTATGAAAGCCAGAAGTATACTAAAACAGACAGTTAACTGCCCATTGATCCCGCCTGATCCAGGGGCCTCACTGACTGCACGGAGACTTTACTGCGCTTTTCACAAACATGCGAACTCTAAAGTTCAAAAGCCACCTTCACAATTGTGTTTATCGCTGCCGTCAATCATAATTACAATCACAAGCAACGAACCTTGAAACAGAGAAACACACAAAACGGATCGAAATCCACAAATCACAAACCATGACCTTTTGAACCCTTGAAGTAAAGTTTTGTTTCCTAAGAGGTCCGTTAAGATGATTGACAGCTGCGAAAAACGCAATCGTCGGTTGGCTTCTGAACTTCAGAATTCGCATGTTTGTGAAAAGTGCTATCCTAATTTGCCGTCCACAGTCTACAAGAAAACGCACTATTTTTTCCACAAGATGAAAAATATTCAGTTTTAAGATTTTCCTCATGGTATTTTTCTCTAACTTAAAGGAATAAAATCCTTTGCATTTTGAGACCTAAAAAAGTTTAAAGATTTCTCGCTCGCATATTGCGTTCACCAGCACGCACTTCAAACAATGTAAATAGATGAAACGATCGATAACATATTTTTTACCTGATACCGATGCGAGTTAAAAATTCGCTCCAGTTCTGTTTGTCTCACCCAAGACGAACTTTTCTTCATGGAAGATAACTATGCCGCTTTATAACTCGTCCGAAGTTTATGTGCCAGCTAAACAATATGGAAACACTATTCACAGTGACTCCTTGGATATTAAAAAGACTGAACGTGACGCACTATTATGCCTTTGTTTACTTCTGATCATATCTTCAAGCGAAGTCTCTCTTTTCAAGCGATTCATCTCAATGCACAATAATTGTCCCTTATATTAGTTAAAACCCTATGGTTCATTTATAGCGGAGCTCTCGCGCGCGAAGCGCGCCAGCGGAGCACCATGGGTAAGAAAATTTGGTAAACTATCCATCCGATAAAATTTGGTTATGACGTAGCGTAACGCAAATAGCCTTCTTCAGGTCCGCAACGCTTTGTGGGTTTTTCAGGGGGAGCGCAGACGAGGTACAAAAAGTATCCGTGCAAGGGTTCGTGCAAGAGAAAATCATATGAAACCATTTGTGAGAACATCGTTTCTCGGTACCAGACCCTCGTGGCTTCCCTCCCCCGGGAGGCCGTTTTTCGCCGCAGACGACCGAAAGCCCATTTTATGACTGGGCCGCACAGGCAGCCCAGTAATTACACCGGTTACAAAGTCACTATCGATCTCCATAAGAGCCTGAATTGTATGTAAAAACGAAGCAGAAATTTTCCAAAGATATGAATTCTTTCTCTTCAAAAGTAGACAAACGTAAAACAGTAGAAGTAAATGGTGAATGGAAACTTTACAAAGAAACAAAGAAATAAGTACACTAACCCTAAAGGAAGCAATGTTATTGTTTCTGGCCTTTGGTTCACGGTCAGTGAAAAGATCTGAAAGATCTAGCCAAGTCCCGAACAATCACTGAAGAATGTCTTCACCGGCGGCGTTTCTCAGTCACTTCATTTCTCTTACGTTTGATTTGATTAAGAAATTATAGAAGTGGCTTTAAGGCAAGATAACAGTAAGTAAATTTTTTTTTTGTTTTGCCGACTCTATCACATTGTTTGAAAAACTTATCAGAAGAAAGGTTTCCTACTTAACTTGCATTCTGATCGAAGGAACCTTTCCATCGACGAACCAACATCCTTGTATTTTTTCCTTTTCAAAAGTTCTTTAACGCATAAGGTGCACTAGAAAATGTTTTTGCACAACGAAAAATAATTTTTGAGTCATAGATTCAGTGTAGATTGACCATTGACGAAAGCAACAGTAGGTTATCCGTCGAGAACTACGGTCTTGTACGTGCAGCTCAGGACGTGATGTACTTTGATCGGCGCCATCTTTTACCGCAGGCTTTTAAAGGATGTTACTAAAACGGGGAACGGGGAGCGGGGAGCGGGGAGCGGGGAGCGGGGAACGGGGAACGGAAGTCTGGGAACGAGTTGTCAGCGGAAACCTCCATAAAAATCCAATATGGCCGATGATCGATGATAGAGAACCGTCGAAACAAACTTAACCGACAACGGCGTTATTTTTCTTGAACTATATGCTCATGAGGTGCTTGAAATAATACGGAGGTAATAAGTTCATGACGTTTTTCACCTTTTTGCGTTTTACTAAACAATTATTCGTAGGAAACAAAATATGCTCCAACAGCAGTTGAAAGAAGCCAATCGGGACAAAAAGTCTCAAAGCACATGTACAGCCATATTTGGAACTCAAGCGAATCTATACTGAGTCTAGCCCACAAAGCAATAAACTACTTTTCCATGATAGATAACATACATTGAAGTAGTCAAGTAGCTTGTGTGCAGACTTCTTCTATTTCCTTTGATAGAGATGACTGCTTTGAAAAATGTTATTGACCACGTCATCACATAATTAGTAAGACTACTTTAACAATCTGGTTCTGCTTTTAATATTATTAGATCCACTACACTGCAAGCATTCACGATATTGAAGTGTTTCACTGATCCATGAAAATAAAATAATATCATTTTATTATTTTGTAAAACAATTTGTTTCAGGTCAGTTTGCCCAGTATAATGACCCTAATGGAACCTAATTCACTCATTTTCCTCACCCTAATCAGTAACTGCTTCAAAGTCGTACACTGGCCATTTGTCTTTCTGCAAAATACCCCTGACGACCCTTTCCTGAATCAAAACCATTGGATTGCATTGAATGCACACACTCTCACTCACTGCAGAGCCTCAATTAACCCCCCGCCCCCCTAAGAATGAGATCCCAAACCCCTCCCTTTTGAAGAAAAATGTCGTAAAATAATCAAAGTACCTCTTCATGGGCACGAAACGTTTGGTGCAATTCATACCATACAATATCGCTGTATCAAGTACTGTCAGTCTCGGTGCAGGAGGAGGGGGTACTATAATGGCCTAAACAGAGCCTGAAGCCTTTTTCAGGCTTCAGTACATGAAAGGGAAGGGGTTTTTATAGTTTAAGTATATGAAAGGGACCAAAATGAGATCAGTCACAGATGCATTTTATGGATGTGAGAGACAAGAAAACCTGTTTTAGCTATTTATTCATATTGTAAAGATGGTGTATTTACAGCAGTTAAAAAGGGATGCAGAGTTCAAAATTAGGTATGTGAAAGGGGTACCATTTGTCATTAGAGGGTATACAAAAGGGGTACCTTTTCTGTCTAAAATGGTACATACAAAGGGTAAAGGGTTGGTCCCTGGGGCAGAGCCTCTTTGGTGAGTACCCCCCCCACTCCCCTCTGGGTTACTGTTACTCTAGTCTGATTCTTCTCTTTAATTTCTTTGGTACTGTGCTTCATTAAATGAGTTAAAATTCATTTAAAAGCTTCTTGCCCCTTTTTTGAAAACCCCGATATGTTAAAAGAAATTATGTCCCCTGGAGGGGAAATAAAATCAGGGAAAATGGGTAGCAAGATCTATTGTGTTATTTTACATGCACTGAGTAAGCGTAATGTGGCCACTATACACATACAGTTGCCCGTGTTTACTGAAAAACATATCGGCACTCCAATCTTTTGCCTCCCATCACTTATGTAAGACCTTAGACTCTTTATTTCCAAAACTACAGACAGCTTGCTAGAAGGCTTATCGACCACCTTCTAATAAGCTGCCAACCTCTGCAACATTGATGATGTGATGCTTGATGGTAGGTGCACTGCAATATCACTGAATCAAGTTAATAAAGCAGCTTGACAATATTAACTGGTTTAAGTCACTGATACATTCAGTTTTACACTGAGCTTGAAATATTTTTCTCCACAGTAAAAATAATGTTCATTAAAGAGAGGCAGAGCTCCCCTCTGCAAAAACATTAAAGGAGTCCCCCTAGAAAAAAAAAGCATCCAGAGGGCTAAACAGAGGAAGTATACTTACCATGCATATTTTAACAGCTAGCCTTTAGAAAGTACCTTCCAACCAAAGACTTTAAAGTACTTCCCCCACGTATACTTGCAACACTTAATATTGCAGCTCAGTTGTGGTTCACTTTTATCCTAAGTTTGAATTTTATTCTCTTTGTTTTGAACTCATAATCATAAAATTCATATTACCGTACCCCCAAACAAAGGGAAGCAAAATTTACACCTAGGATATAATAAAATAAAACCACGGCATAGCCATTTGCTTTGAAACAACTGACATCTTTAAGACCAAGGTATGATTGATGTTCCTGGCACATTGCCCGTTAATATGTTTAAAGTTGCCTTTTATTGATGTATTAAATAGCCTGATCCATCTTATCTTTTCAAATAATACAATTGCACTTACTTCTCATCATAGGTTTGTAAATATAAAATATAATATTATTAGACTTACAGTTTTATCTCATCGCCAACATGTTTTAATTTGGGCTTGAAAAAACGCTACAGCTAGGAAGGAGCTTCACTGCTACACTATTACTGTCGAGGAAATACACCTGGCTGCTTCGATCTACGTTATCTTTCAGCATGTATTTAAGCCAAAACCCTACGAAAAGCGTCAAGCAAAAGTAGTTCATTGCTTTGTGAGTTAGACCCAGTATAGATTCGCTTGAGTTCCAAATATGGCTGTGCTTTGAGAGTTTTTGTCCCGAATGTATCTTCTTTCAACTGCTGTTGGAGCATATTTTGTTGTTTAGTAAAACGCAAAAAGGTGAAAAATGTCATGACATTATTACCTCCGTATTATTTCAAGCACCTCATGAGCATATAGTTCATTAGTAAAATATCGACCTTTAAGGTCACAAGGTCGATATTTTACTAATAATGTTGTTTCGACGCTTCTCTATCATCGATCTTACCGGGTTCTTGATCCTTACCGGCCATTTTGGATTTTTATGGAGGTTTCCGCTGACAACTCGTTCCCACACTTCCGTTCCCCGCTCCTCGCTCCCCGCTCCCCGCTCCCCGCTCCCCGTTCCCGGTTTAGTAACATCCACTTTTAAAGAAAAACGTCGCCGTCGAAATTATCCCTAAAGAGGAACAAGGTTGAAAACGTATCCGGAAGTGGGCTTGCATCTAAAGATCTGCAAACAGTCGGTACAGCAGATCAGGAAATGAAGGGCTTATCGCCATCCTTGCACAACCACCATCTTCATCTCCGATGATCGCCATCCGCACGAGTAGCGACCACCAAGGCTCGAATTTTGGCTAGAATGGTGAAGTATTTCGAAGAAAACATCCAGTGTTTGGTATAAAATTGAATCCGCCATCTCTCCTTTTCAAATAGCCGAGATATCACCGTTATATTACTAATGAACAGCTTTAACAATGGCTTTCGTACTTTTCGAATGAAACTTGACAAAGGAGCCTTTTTACATAGGTAGACTTAGCGGTGAAATTCGTGAACCAAATCGCAAAGACAAAGTAACTAGATTTCCTTCTGTATCGTATGCTAGATAGTTAGGGTTATTGCCCCCGCAGGGATTTCGCCCAGAAGACAGAAAATCCCGAAGGGACCGCTTAGGTAGATTTTGTGACATTTATTGTGCAGTCATACTTCGTTACGTGTTATCAGTGACATTCTGTGGAGCTGTTGTTTTGAACGTTATGGATCAAAAGACACTCGTTAAGCGCAGATGAAGTTATAAGCTTTGTTCTATGTATACATAAACACTTGGAGAGTTTGCTAGACACGAGGTTCACAAATCTTTGATTGGAAACCTTGCCAGACATTCTTTCTCTCTCTTTGACCGGACTAAGACTCAGCCCCAAACAAGCAAGACGAGTGAGCAACAGTTAGCTTATCACTAGAAGAACGATGGACGATTACACAAATTCACCGACAATCAAATTCTGTGCTGACTTATTCCCTGCTCACAGATGTCCTTCCGCTATAAAGTTTAAAATAAGACTAGAATGCGCGAGCGTGAATTGATCAAACATCCTTTTAATTTCTAAGGCTTACTTTCCGGCAAATGAAATGAACTGAATGTAAAACGTCGAAGTGAAATAGGGAAAAATTCAACTTCTAATTAAATCTTTTCTTATGGTTTAGAATAAACTATTCTCGAGACTGAGAATGTTTTGATCAAAGCTGTGTAAATCGAACTGAAACTGTGCATGGAACCTTGCGTTTCCTGTATTTATCTCACCAATTGTATGGATTATGTGTGAAAATCTTCATTATGAATCGGTATATTTCAAAGAGCTACACAATTAACGAGCAAGAATACTATTGACCGATAATATACAGAGCGGGGGCAGCTGTGGTGGGGAGCCACCTAAAAAATTGCTAAGCGAAGAAAAAAAATTGCTGAGCGAAGCATATTGCTGGTTTTTTCTATCACGCAACAAAGCATGCAGCCATATTGGTGGACAAAACAATAATTTTTGGTGGATGCACGAATAAAGAGGGTGAAACGATTTTTTTTCTTGTCTATTAACAAGGCTGCCTTGAGGTACGCCACTGGTTCAGCTGAAAACCACGGCGATTGCAACAAAAAGACTCATTGAAAATGAATTAGCGTTTTTCTAGACTATTTCATCTGTTGTACCAGAAGTGTGTTGCATGTGAAGAGTTGCACACGGTTTTTGTTTAAGAGCTGTTGCTAACGTCGTTGCGAAAGCTCCCTCCCTAGTAAGTTGGTTCAGTTCGGAAACGGAGCCAAAGGAGCCAGGACGGAAGATAAAGTTTTTAAAGTTCCTTCTATTACCCTTAATGGTATCCGCACCTACCTTTGGTTTCTGATGATTCTTGTCCAAGCCTAACTGCCAAAATAATACTAAGAGTCAATGAAACCAAAAACGCTGTTACCAGAAACGAGAAGAATATAATCGATAGCGTAGGGTGTGAAGCTATAAACCATAGCCTGGGGTTTGAAGCAACTTTTCTCTTTACATTTTCGATAAAGTCGAGTTTCTTCCTCTGTTCTGACATGATATGTTTCATTCAGGTATAAAACAAAGGTGAAATCTTCACGATTCTTTTGCAGAGCCTAGATCACGGAGCGAGCTGAACGAAGCACTTTCGAATTCTCGGAAAGACAGGGAAAAATCCCATGACGTAGTCGCGCAAAATAAATCATTTTCAAGGAAACAGCTCAGTCAATATCAAGCGCAGGCGGTGTGCGTCACGAGATTCGACCAATCAGAATGCGTCAGTTGTAGAGTGATTTTCGCGATTGGAAACACAGGTAACCCAAGCCCGAAATATAAGCATCGGCGAGCATCGGCATTGTTGCGTAACATTCAAAATATAAGGATTTGTATGGGAAAAAAAACCTATCGTTTCTGTAACCTACGAAAATGAAAGGATTTCAATAAAAAACAGCTTACCTTACTTAAAATGTGTTACGTCTCTCTTGTGTGGTCCACGGGCCGATTTATGGCCGTTTAATGGGTTTTTATGTAATAAACCTTTATATATAGAGAAAACCGTTTACATAAAAACCCATAAAACGGCCATAAATCGACCCGTGGACCACACAGGAGAGACGTAACACACATTTTAAGTAAGGTAAACTGTTTCTTATTGAAATCCTTTCATTTTCGTAGGTTACAGAAACGATAGGTTTTTTTCCCCATATAAATCCTTATATTTTGAATGTTACGCAACAATGCCGATGCTCGCCGATGCTCATATTTCGAGCTTGGGCTACCGGTGTTGGAAAGAGCTGTTTTCAGAGGTGTATGTGGTGAAATTAGTAGTTAGAAAAAGATGCTTTCTGGACCAACTCATACCTACTCCCCACCGATTATTCCAGTCATCCCCCCTGTCATCCGTCATATCATGGCACTCCCTGTTTAATTTCTGTCATAAATTTCGTACTAAAATGGCCAATTTTCATTTAAGGAAAAAATTTTTTCAAACGGAATTAATGGGAAAAAAATCACGGAAATAAACAGACTTAGCCCCAAAAGTGTAAAAATCCCCAGGTTAAATAGTGTTTATATAATGATCTCTGTTATTTTTTTCTATCATTTTCAGACATGGATTAACTAGGGATAATTGATACTCCTCTTTTTAATCAGAATTCCCTGTTTAAATACTGTTATTAAAAACTAAATAAACCAGAAAAAAAATACACTCAAAAATGAACGAAATTGATGGTGGATTAAACCAGGAGAATTGATACTCAGATAACAGGGGGGATGACTGTAATAATCGGTGGGGAGTCGGAATGGAGTTTATCCAGAAAGCATCTTTTTATAAGTACTCTACAAATATATGATAATTTACATAACATTTCAAGCACCTGCTAGTTTTTGACAGAGTTGTTAATTTTAACTGAATTTACAGAATAATCTAGAGTGGCTAGGGTAGAGAGGAATCTAGTCTATTGTTCGACTTTATTAAATATTTACAAGCGATTTTAGTTGGCGCGGAAAAAATAAACTTGATTTTAAGAAATAAAGGTTAAAGAAAAGAATCCATTTAACAAAATGAGTTTATCGAGCCAAAATTCGTTTTCATCAATCTCATCATCTGATAGTGACTTCGAGGATGATTTTTATCCATTTCGAGACTCACCCAGAACATATAAAGATGAGCCATATTATTATGATGGTATATCTAATGATGAAATTAACTCTTGTTTAAATAACGAGTTTGAAAACGTTATCAATGTTTAAAAGTATGGTATTGCCTTTTCGAATAAAGATATACTTAATGATGAAGGTGGTAGCAAGAAATATTGCCGTTCTTGTTTTACATGATATTTTTGACGATGTTTCTTTTGATGAAAATGATGCTCCACCTATGTATGATATGATTCAAAAGGAATACATAAAATCACTTCCAAAGTGTAAATATGATTCTATATTTTCCTTTTTCAAAAGACAAGAATCTTTGGATAAAAATACAATTTATTATCAGTAACAACTTGGCATGAATTTAGTCATATTTTGTACGACAAACCAATAAACAAAGAAACATTTTTTTATGATAGGGATTATTTATAATTTCCCGTTTGGGGCTTTTTTTTTATGCCGCTAATCAAAGTTTTCTATCAATCTTGATACAAAACTTTTTTAATTGTCTAAACATTAAATAAAATGAATCCATCTGAGAATTCTTCAAATTCACTGACTGATATTGAATCTGAAACTGATCCTGAGAATGAACAGATTGTTGAAAAGATTGTAAAAAAAAATGAAGTTTGTTGAAGAAAAACCAAATGCTGAGGAAACAATTAGACCAAAAACAAAACTACCAAATGCTGAAGATGAAGTTCAACCAAAACGAATGAAAAAAGAATTACCAGATGCTGAGGACATCGTTGAAAAAACAGAACCAACAAAGACTGGAAAAGATTTTGCTAAACTGACCAAAAAGGCTATTACATTGGGAGCTACTGCTCTAAATTATTCAAATCGAAAAAATACTAAGGATTTTGTCACAATAGAGGATGGAAAGAAAGTACATTTTGGGTCGGTAAAGAAGGAGGATTATCATGATAAAGAGCGTCGTAAGAAATATCTCGCTCGGGCTAAAAAAATAACCAACAATTCAGCAAACTATTGATCGATTAGGCTTCTATGGTATGGAGAATAAAATCAATTTTTGATTTAAAAATACAATCTTAGAATAAAATATGCAACTGACAAGCTATGAAAATCTTACCACTGACAAAATTTTATTCCAAGAAGTCGAGGAGTCCGCATGCAGTGGTTTAAATCAAATTGCACTATGTCAATGCTCTTTTTGCAGGATTAGAGGTTTAACAGGAGTCAATTTTTTTTAAACAATTTTATTGAATTAATTAAAGACAAGTTTTACAATGTTATTTAAAAATAAACATTAATTAAATAAATTAAATTATACAATTCCACTTAAAAAGATACTAACCTAAAAGAAAAAAGATAAAGGATAACAATAACAACGAAATATATATATATATATTACAACAACAACGACAACAATAAAGGAGTCAGCTGGTTTCATAGACTTTATATGTTTTTCTTTCTCGCAAATTGTATCTATAGTACTTTTTATTACTCTTTTCAACACATTGTGTTCATCTTCCAGTACTATTACCTAATTTGCCTACTAGCATAGTGAGTAATGTATAACTTATAATAATATATAAGTTGTTTGAATCTTGAACACGTTCAATTTACATCTTAATAGTAAAATTGACAAACGATAAAAAGATTCTTTCACTAATCCTTGAGTGCACAATATGCATGATAAAATGTACACAACATACAAATGCAAAGGATGAAAACTGTTGTAACTCGGAGTTTCAAGAGAAATTTTAACTTTTCAAAGAATTAGCAAGTAGCATGATATATCCCCTTTAAGCCCTAACAGAGATCAGCATCCAATTTCTCCTTGTAATATCAATGCTTTGTAAAACAGAGTGGTCATGAAAATTACTGACATGATCACACAAGCTGAAATTGCTTGATATTTTATCAACTTCTCCTCACTACTTCTGTAGGAAATAGATATGGACAACAGATGAGAATGCAAATTTTGATCGTAGGGCTTAAAGGGTTAAGGACTGCTGAAGCAGTGTGATCTGTGATAGATAGATACTGAGATAGATAGAAATATTGATAGATTGATGGTTTATTAAATACGTCGCAGCTGCTCGGCTGAAATATGTAGTTTTACAATACCGTAATAAAACTATGATAATAATACACCAAAAAAATGTAGTAATAGTCTATGAATAATAAAAGTAGAATTAAAAATATTTACAAATACTTTGCAAAAGGTAGATATGGCGTATATGAAGGAGTTCCTTGCCCAATTGGTTTTCAAATTAGCTACTTGAAATTGCACTGTTTTCTTAAAGTGTAACCACTGCCGCAGTGCGTTGGAGGCAACAGGTTTCTTATGTTATGGTTGTTCGCAAAGAACCCGTTTTCGTTACCACGCTTTGCTACCAGCTCAGAGTTCTACATTCTAACTTTAGTAGTAAGATTGTGAAAGTTTAGATGGTTTTGTGGATACATCCTTTTTGACAAAATTAGTTTTACGTTAACAAAAAACTAACCATTTTCATTGTTTGTCTTCGATTTGTGTGGCCAATAGTGATAAAGTCTTAGCACGCGATTTGCTACCGATTTCTGAAAACGAAACTTTACTCTATTTAGGCCGATTCCAAACCCTTTCTCCTACACTGGACTAGAAAAATCCTTTGTGAATGACATGAGTGGAGGCTCAGTATCAATCATAAACCGTGTAGAATTGCTTCAAAATCGCCGCCCTCGTCCTCAAGTTAACATCACATAAGAAACGGTAAGCATGACGACAAAAAGAAATCTTGTCGGTATTATGCTGCTGGAAGAAGAAACTGGGAAAAGAAAAAAAAGATGTTCAGTCGTTATTAAGTGTTACGGTGTAGGTCATGTAAACATTTAAAGCTTCATCAATCACACCCGACACCTAATTTTGCTTATTTTGGCCGTTAAGCTCCATCAACCACACCCAACACCCGGTTTTGCTGATTTTGGTTGTTGGTTAGTGTCAGCAAAAGACGAGGATGTACTATAAAGCCTTGTCACTTTTTGACGTGAAGCTGACCAGCTAGCTTAAATACTTTCACGAACCGTAATTGGACTTATGCTTCTGTAAGTTCTTTCAAGGAAGACTAAAAAAATATACCTTTTATTTAACACTCGCCAGTATTAGTAAAGCCGGACGTGCCTTAAAAATTGAAATTGTTCTATCTGGGAAATAGCGTGAATTTTCATCCCAGTAATACTAGTAATGACTGGAGTTCGACCCCTATAAACGAAGCGCGGGGAATGGGGCCACTTCCTTACCTTAGTAAGAGCGGAGCTCTGCGTGCTCGAGCGAGCGCTGCAAGGGAACCAGGAGGGCATATAAAGTATTTCTCTTTTCAGCTCCAAGAGCATTTTAAAGGAGAAGAGCAGCCAGTGTCTGTCTTCTGCAAAAGCCCTCGTGATTTTACTTAAACGCCATAATCGGTTCACAAACTAATCATCTTTCAGAGATCAGGTCTGAAAACGGGTGTGCAAATGAATGGTATGTTTCGGTCTGAAATAGGGTCAGGATTTGGAGAACCGGGTGGCACAGCTCTACCAAGAATTCCTAGGAGACCCCTCCATTTCCAAGAGCTATACTTTTTCGGATATGACCGAATCCCTCACCTTTACAGACGTGGCCATTTCCGTGATACCCTTTGGAACAGGAACAGTGATACGATCCCCACGTATTTACACAGACGGCTTTTTTGTGGCAGTCAGAAACACCCACTAGGCACTCGTTATAGTCATTACACCACTTTCCGTCTCCTCGAAAACCGGTTTTACAGCTGCAGGTGTACGAACCGTCTGTATTTCTGCAAACTGCGTTCGGGTTGCAAGGATTTCGACTACACTCGTCCTCATCATAGCACGTTTCGCCATCGCCTTGGTATCCGTCCAGGCACTTACAACTGTAGGATCCTTGGTTATTGATGCATCGCGCATTTGGACTGCACTTTGTCTTCATGTGTAGGCACTCATTTATATCTAAATACCAAATAATAATACGGTGAAGTCGTTATTAGACGATGCCATTCTTAAGAGCTCTAGTAAAAGGCCTTTAACTCACGCTCAGTTAGGGAGTCCAAATTCCCATAAAGATGTACCTTTCTCTCTGAAATTTTAAAGATCAACCAAAACTGAGCTCTCTGTCAGTATAACAGGAAGACCCAGAAAAGTGACAGCTTCCTGTGTAGTCAGATTTGTCTATTGCCATTTTAGGCATTTTAAGATATCAAAACAACCGTGTACAAGAGTTAAAATCTTCGATATTTCATGTCAGACCGGTCATGAGAAAGCCTATGGTAAAGATCATGTTTCTTAATATTAAATTCCTACGTTGAGGGTGTACTAATGATTCAATGCCCGGAGTGCCCAATCGATGAAAATCGATCATCGGAAACCAATAAATAGAATCGGTTTAATCGATAAAAATTAGTTGATTAATATTGATTGGTTTCATCAATCGATGAAAATCGATACTCACAATCCTTCTTTTAATTGTATCAATTCTTATGGATTTTAAAGAGTGCTGGACACCAGTTTACGAAGTTCTGTTGTACAGTTTTAGTTTACGTCGCATAAAAGCGGGGAAAGTGGCCGGATCTCTTGTTATTTGTAGGAGTCGGTACTTTCAAGAAACGTTGTTCAACAAATCCACGTCATAAGGGGCTATTTAGGTATTTTTTGTCCACGCATCGCAAGTTTCAAATGATCAGACTTTTCAATCATTTTTTTCGTATTTTCGACACATTTAGAAGAAAAATAGTCTGCTACACAGCTGTACACAGCCGTTAGAGTAGTCACGCAACGCTCCCCCCCCCCCCATAAACTGGGGAGGAGCGTTGCGTGACGACCCCTGACTGAAAACGGCTGTGTAGCAGACTAGAAGAAAAACAGCTATGGAACGAAAGATCTCCCTTTAGGAAGTGAAAAATTACAACTGGTAATACTTTCAATTTCTAATGCATAGCTCAAACGTTTCTGAAATTATGGTCAAACGATTACCAATGACAATCGATATAATCGATGAAAATTAATAAAAATCGATAATCAACTCTTTCGATCTCTGATTTTTTAATCCATTTCCGATATCACTCGATTCAGTATTACTATCGATTACAATCGATTTTATCAATTGTCGAATTTCATCGCTTGGACACGCCGGGTTCAATGTTGAGCTTTGCTTCTATAGTTTGGTATTACACTGGAGACTGCTTACCTGTGCAGTACCGTCCATTGTCCGTGTACCCTCTTTTGCAGAAGCAACTGTACGAACCTGGCTTGTTCTCACAACTAGCACTAGAGTGACAGTTGTCAGTTCCAATCCTACACTCATCGATGTCAGTGCATTCCCATCCATTACCTTCATATCCAACAAAGCACTTGCATCTGAATGCACCGATGCTGTTCGTACAGGATGCATAGACACTACAATTGTGTGTTTGCATCTCACATTCATTCTCGTCTATACAGTCAAACCCGTTGCCTTTAAATCCAACTCGACATTTGCATTCATATCCACCGATTGTGTTTATACACGATGCATGCTCACTGCAATTATGGATCAAGGCTATGCACTCATCAACATCTTGACAGGTCCGCCCATCACCTTGGAAACCTGGCAGACAAGAGCAGTTGTGGCCACCGATTGCATTAGTGCACGATGCATGGGGGCTGCAATCATGAACGTCTGTTTTACACTCGTCTACGTCTTTACATGAAAAGCCATTACCTTGAAATCCGTCAAGGCACGTGCAGGTATAAGAGCCAATAGTGTTATTACACAACGAATCAGTGCTACAGTTATGTTTTCTTATACTGCACTCATTGATGTCTGTACATGAGCGTCCATCTCCTTCGTAACCAGGAACACAAGTACACTTGTAGGTGCCAATGGCGTTCACACATTTTGCGTTGGAGGGGCAGGAATGCAGTTCCTCGGATAAGCACTCATCTATGTCTGCAGGAAATTCAAGTTGAAAATAAGCCTAGTTAAACTGTCCCGATATCAGAAAAAATGCCCTTTCCTTCACTATAGTTACCCTTGTGCCCCTATGTGCGTATTTGGGTAAGTACTTTTTAGCTTGAGTTTCAATCTTCTACACTCTCTGACTATGAATCGCTTAGATATCTTGCATCTTCCCTACAGCTTTATCTTTTACACCCGAGTTCATCTTTGAAGTTAAGATTTTAGCTTCTGAGAGTCCATTCAAATTTCAGTTAACAAGCAGTCTTCTTCCCGCGTCTGAGGCAAACAATATTTTAAAGAAAAATGTTCCAAAGTCTTCATAACCTTTTTTCTGGAGATCACTTTGAAGACATAACATATAAAACATCCAGAAATCTCCAAAATATATTTGTCGAAAAAGGCTCATTACAGAGGTCTCAACGGGTCAGAGAGTAGATACTATAGAAACTTCTCAACTGACACAGTTCTGATGTCTTGAACACGACGTTTAGTCTTGCTACTGCCATGAAGTACAGTAGACAGCCACGAATAAGAACCTACTTCAGTGGAGTCTGCCAAAATAGTTTCTTGTATTTTGGGGTAATTATCGGCAATTTAGGCTAAGTTGGTTGTTAAATAGGTTCTTTATTTTCATGAAGGACGTAACATTGTTGATTACCAGAAAAATAATCAACGTGGGTTTGGTCCTTGAAAATACAGTATTTATTCACAACTGATTACCGAATTTTTATACATGCAGTTTGGTACAGTATGTTCTTGTTATACTGTACTTATATCTCAAAGTTACGCTCCTGTGTTAAATTGTTTATCATAATTTAACTGTAACCCACATATAAAAACCTGCTTGATCTTCCTCGGCTAAACAGGTTCTTGCATTTTGGGGTATTGAAGGGGGAAATTTCTTCCAGGAGGTTCTTAATCTCAGATAAAGGACAGGGACCTAGCCACATTATCGGCTTTCAAAACAAGTATCCAGAAGAGAGACCTTTCAAGTCTCATAGCTGAGAACAGATGTTCAAATTGTACCTTGTGTAATACTTGAGACCCTACTTGTTAATTTACTTTTCGATTAATTAGATTGTAGACTATTTTATTGTTGTTATTATTATTTATTTATTAATTTTTATTCATTGTTATATATAATATTTAACGTTATTAGTGTAATTTTATAGTGAATATTTAGCGTAAATATCATCAAATTCAATCTTAAGCTTATTAAATAGATTTTACTAACTAGGTGTCCCCGATTAGTATGCTACTTGTGGCCCGCTAGAAGATTTTGACACGTTAATAAAGTTGTTCATTCATTCGTTCTTATTCGGGGGTGCATCGTACTGCTGCCGTGCTTTAGTTTGAACTGAACTTGATCCCTAGGATTAATTTGGCCCGCAAAATCTGAGCTCTTACCATGGCATAAAGAACCGTTCCCTTGAAAGCCATTGTTACAGACACAGACATGACGATCCCTGTTCAATTGGTCTGTTGTACAAACAGCATTGACATCGCAAAGTGGCTTCTGCCTGCAATCAAATCCAGTGGCCAATATTCGCTTGTCCTCTTCAACTATGGAGAGCCAGAGGATCAAGAAATGAGTATAAGTTTAAGCTTAAAACAGTTTTGGAGGTTTTATAGCAAAATACAGGAGTAAATTTACAAGATGTCCCGCAATTTTAAAAGGTTCGATCTGTAATTATAGTATTTTAAGCTGCCCCAGTGTTATAAAACCTATAAGGACGTCGGGCAATTTAAATGGCATGAGAGTCAGTAAGCAGATTACAGTTTCCTGAAAATAGAATACTTGTCGGTAATTGCCGTCTCATCTAGAAAATCCTTGGTGTTGTTGATGAGTTTGTTCATTTTTCGTTACATAAATGAAATACAATATACATAATATCGCTTTTTGGGTGACCATTAATGTACAACCTAAACAATGACTTAGTAACCACAAAAATTGCTCAGCGAAGCATATTGCTGTTTTTTTCTATCACGCAACAAAACATGCAGCCATGTTGGTTGACTAAACAATAATTTTTAGGTGAATGCATGTATAAAGAGGGTAGTTCTGAATAAAAGGAAACGATTTTTTTCTTGTCCATCAGCATAGCCGCCGTGAGGTACGTTAGTTCAGCTGAAAACCACGGCGACTGCAACAAAAAGGCTCATCAAAAATGAATTAGCGTTTTTCTAAACTTTTTCACTGGTTGTCGCAATTATTACAAATCATTTGAAACAGCAATTAAGGATGAATTTCCCTGGTGTTGAATTCTTGATGATGGAACCCAAGTTTCATTAAGGATCGTGTAAGGTGATTTTACGCCGTAGTCATGCAGTGCCGGGCGGAGAGATATACCAAAGTGTGTTGCATGTGCAGAGTTGCACGGTGTTTGTTTAAGAGCTGTTGCCAACGTCGTTGACAAAGCTCCCCCCTTAGTACGTAGTAAGTTGGTTCAGTTCCGAAACAGAGTCAAACGAGCCAGTGCGGAAGATAACGTTTTTAAATTCTCTTATATTACCCCTTAATGTTATCTGCACTTACCTTGACTACCTTTTGTTTCTGATGATTCTTGTCCAAACTTAAATGCGAGAATAAGACTACCAGCCAAAAAAACTGTTAACAGAAACGCAAAGGCTAACGATAGCCTGGGGTTTGAAGCAGCTTTCCTCCCTACATTTCTGATAAATTCTTTAACGCTTTCCAAGTCGAATTTCTTCTTTGGTGGTGACATGATATGTTTCATTCAGATATATCTTCCCGACTTTTTTTGCAAATTCTGAATGAACGAGCTGAACGAAGCACATTCCTGGAACTCAGACCTGCTTTTGAATTCTCGGAAAGGCAGGGAAAAATCCCATGACGTAATCGCGCAAAATACATCAGTTCTGACGCAGATCTCCAAGGAAACAGCGCTCTCTGTGACCCTTTGCGAAACGAAGCTGAACGAGTTTATGCACTACTGATCCATCACCATTTCTGCTATAGCTCAGTCAATATCAAACGTGTCTATTTGTGAGGTCGTATGTTACCTTGTGCTCCCACAGTAGGCTGATTTGTCATCAAAAGTTTGCCTAGACTGAAAGAGTTTTTGTCATTGTTAAATTTCACGATGTCGTCTACTTTTTTATGCAAAAAAAAAAGGTCATGACATAAACATCGAATAGTAAGTGTTGCTCCACTTATCAGGGACACATAATTCTTACTAGAATTTCAAATTTCCTACTCTAATTTTTAAAAACAAAGATGATTAGAAAATATATTAATATGCACATTACAAGTGACAAATTAAAGGGGCTATGACACGAGAATATTGCTTTTTTAGGCAAATTTCTCTGATGTAGTCGTCATTTAATGCCTTTTCCAAACACAAAATACTCCTGTGGATTTACGATTCCCGTTTGCCCCGGGAATTTTCCAGTGGGACGAACCAAAAAAACTTTTACGATTTATATCCCAACCAAAAATTTCCGGGAATTTGTGGTAAATGGTAAACCACCCATATATCTGATATATTTACGAGAACATGAATCAAAAACTACTTGTTCGTACACGTAAAGGACGTGTGAGAACAAATCAGAAATCATGTAGTACGCCAGCGGGCGGGGGTGATTTAGGCCCGGTTCAAAGGCCGCTCCACTCATGTGCCGAACCTAACTGATGAATTAAGTACGGCAAAAGAGCGGCGTCTGAATCAATTTGGTACGGCAGTTTTAGTATGGTGCGGCAAAAGCGTTAAGTTCGACAGAGTCTGTCGAACTTTTGTCGAACTTTTGTCGAACTTAACTTAGGTTCTACACACGGTACGCCGTCTGAATCAGATGTCGCGCCAGTGTCGCTCCAAAGTCGAACTTATTCAGTTAGGTTCGGCACATGAAAAGTACGGAATCTGAACCAGGCCTTAAGCCAAAAAGAAAAGGAGAAATATTTTAAATGAAAATTAATGTAATTTAATATGATTACTGTCATTTCCTTTTATCCTATCGTTATTACAAGATCACGCGGTACATTTTAGCGACCTTGTAATTATTAAAGCTGGGTGCCCGGTTGTTTTTCTTTCCTAATTCCTGATGGTTCGCGGCGAAGCTTTATCAAATCGTGCGCACTATATTCATTTCACCCCCGGTAGCATCTGCCTGTAGGTATTTTGAAAACTGATCTGTGGAGCCAGAATAGCATTTATTAGTCCTCAGCTCAGAAGGAATGAACAAAAAAAAT